TTTTTAAAACTGCCAGATTATGGTAAAATTTAGCATGTTTCTGGCTTTATGGAACAACCAAAATAATAGATAATTTTTACCGAATCGTTATGGTAAAAGTAACAAAAAAAATTTATTATACTATCTGAGAAAAAATGCTGAAAAATTTGGTAATTTTTCATTGTACCATAGAGCATTGGAAAAAAATCATTCATTCAGTTAAATTCACTTGTCGCTTTGTATTTTTTACTAAATGTGTGATAATAAGAAATATAATTTTAAAAACTTTCCAGTAAACCGTTACCAGGTTTACGGACAAATTACCGAGTGAATGGTTTAAATACCTTATATATATTTTTTTTTAAACCAGAATTATTTTTCCCTTTTTTACCAGAAATGACTATACCATTGTGAGGTGATTTTACCTGAATTTTTTTCCTTGCTTTATGCGTCTTTCCATTACGTTTTGTTTTCATTTTATACAATTTTAACAAATTTTGAACTTCGTGAAAAATATTCAAATTTCAAATATTGTTTCAAATGATTTAATAGAATTGTATTTATTGACAAAAATGTTTATGGAAGATATGGCAATATTAATTTGTAAGCACAAGGATGGTGCATAATGTTACATCCCATTTTCAGTTGTTAGTTTTTATGCTGCTATCAAATATATCTTTTGGCTGTGTCACAATCAAAAAAAGTCCCACGATGTAGAGGAAAAAATATAGCCCTTTGGCTTTAGTTATAAAGATACAATCCATACAAACTTCTAATACAAAATAATAATAATGCAATCGATAGTAACGGGAAAATAAGGATAATAAAAATAGTCATATTTGTAATCAATATAAAGTTGAAGTTTTAAAATTTTTTTGTGTTGAAAATCTTGTTACAACTTAGCGTAAAAGATAACATTAAAACAATTATCATTACTTAAAAGTCCATCTAAAGTTCTAAATAAGGCCTCCAAAATTTACAAGCTTCTTTTCTTGGATGAGTAATAATTCCCTCATTACTTGTATTCAAATTATATACAGTGTAACTGAGTGGTAATTGTTTCGGCCACCTTTCTTCCTCGTGTTCAGGAAGTGGATTTCTGAAAAAACATAATTGATAATCGTACAAATTAGTTACACTCAATAAGAATTAAAAACAAAAACTTATATCCAACCAATTTTTTTTTAAAAAGATCAAAGCTTAAACTAATAGTACATTTTCAAAGTTTGATTTTTATTTTAATATTTGTAGACTACTCTTATTCAACCTAGAATTGCATTGTAAGGTGATTCAGCAATGTTAAAATTACACGAGTTGTTCTCAAATCCATCGAAATGTTTAAATGCAAAAATCTTTAGTTCAGGAATTAAGATTTAAAAAAATTAGAAAAGAATCTCTTAGAGTTTTGTTGGAGGAAAGATAAATCAAGTTTTTTTAAAGCTTAGAAAAAAAAACAAATTTGGCACTGGAAATGCCTTCTCCAGAAAGGGCTTATACTACAGTTTTATGCGGAAGACTGCTTATAAAATATTATGAAAGTCCTAGTAAAAAGGGCATTATCCTTAACTGCAAGAGACGTTTTATGCTGCCAGGGAGATCGAGGACAGGATATGAACCCTGCCTGATGTCTTTAAGTAACATCTTGTGGGAAAAGGTAGTCTTGAAACATCCACTATCATTTTCAGGTCTGAAGAGAAGGGGTGCCCAGTCCTCCACCAGTTAATACCATCAGATTCAAAATATCCTCTGTTTGATGAAGTCCATGTATACTGTTAGATTTTTCATTCAGAAATAATGCAGCATACTGTCCAGTCAATTGGTGCCATCCATAATGGTTTGGTGCCATCCTTAGTTATTAAGTGGCCTAAAAAGGAAATTTCTGGCACACCAAACAGACATTTTGATGCATTCGCCGTTAAGCCATATCCGTTTAATATTTGAAATACGGCTCGCACATGCATTTTATGCTATTCCTCTGATTCACTAAAAATAAGGATATCATCGAGGTAAACATAGCAAAAAGGCAAATCTTCCAGAATTTCATTCATGAACATCAGAAGGGTTTGGGCGGCTCCGCATAGGCCAAAATTTAAAAAAGGAAATTTAAAAGGCCCAAAAGTCGTACACACAGCAGTTTTTTGTATGTCATCTGGGTGTACTGGAATGTGAAAATAAGCACGGACAATATCAATCTTTGAAAAAAGATTTTCGTTATGCAGCGCGTGTGTAAAATCTTGTATATAGGGAATTGGGTACTGATCCGGGGTTGTCATAGCGTTTAATTTCTTATGGTCTCCAACTGGTCGAATACTTCCCGAGCTTTCAGTAGCGACATGGAGTGGAGATGACCATGGTGACTTCGAGGCCGACAAATACCCTGCTCTAACATAAACAAAAATTCTCGTTATACAGCATCGTATATTTCTGATCCGCCTAGGTTTATTGTGTATTAGCGGACCAGTAGTATCGATGTAATGTACAATATTATGACACGCCTGCATAATTTTTGGTGTTAATTTAGTTAATTCGGAAAATTTGAAAATAATTTGTAATAATGTGTGTCACCTGAAATTAATTTTATTGAAAAAACATTCGTTTTGGCGGTTATGCCCAATAAAGCGGGTTCAATGTCAACGTATCTTCTCGTGTATTTACTGAGAGTGCGGGACTTGAACTCGTGGAATCATTCATTGCACAAACATTTAGAAGGGGATCCGTTCTAACTTCGCCTATTTTATCAGCTAGCTTAGCTAAATTTTCGACCAACTCTGAGCTAACGGAAAGAATTGTTTGTATCTCTGATAGTAAACGCGGCAGCCAAAAGGTTTTTAAAAAATCTTCATTTAAAGATGTATCTGCCAGTGTTCGCATTTTCCTCAACAAATGTGACGGTTTGTCGTCTCCTAATTGTAATTCAGAAAGACGTTAGCGAACTTGCCTATTTTCAGATCCTGTGAATTCAACTATCCACCTTTCCTTGAAACTATTATATTTATGGGCAGCTGGAGGATTAAATAAAATATCTGAAACTGTCGATAAAGTCTCTGGCTCGACAGCTGCAGCGATATTGTTATATTTAGTTTGATCGTCAGTAATTCCTGATAAATCGAAATTACTTTCCGCCAGAACAAACCAAAGTTAGATATTATTCTTCCATATTGGTGGTAGTTTAACAGCTATACGTGCACTTTGGGTTTCAGTAAGATTCTGCTCACCTTCATTTGGCGTGCTGAACTTAAAATAGTAACAAGTTTAAACAGATTAAACTAATTCATGTAATAACGTAATGTCGGCATGCATTTTAAATTTAGAATTGAATTTATATAAATATCAATGCTACAAACTAAAATCCAATTACTAAGAGGAACAAATTGCATACCAAACGAATGACAATAAAAACCTTCGTGAATCGTCGTAATCCAATAACTTTTCTATGAAAGTTGGTTTTAGTGTGCTGCGACGAGTGTGGTCAAAGCTGAAGAAAATGCTAAATGCTGATTTCTCTCAAAATTTTTTTTTCCTCAAACATAACATTAATATAACATAAACAAATTTAAACATTATCGGTCGTCTTGCTACCAAGCCAGGTGAGGCCTTGTGAAGAGGTTGAAAAGGTAGTTCTTCATCTGAAGGAGAATATTTATCACAGGGTTGCTTTTACCTGAGGATCTTAACTCGTCCAACTGGCGGTAAAGTTGGTGAGAGCACCACAAGCGTTAAAGTTGAAAGCAATTTTTTTTTACTTTAACAGCTTTGAAACAGTTTACAACTAGTATAGTCAAAGCCATAAAGGCAAAACTGTACAGTTTCATAACCTTTTACAACTGACATGGTTTCAAAACTGAAAAAAAAAATTAAATTTAACTGGACATTGGAGCTAAGCTTTTTGCAAGATAATTAACACCGGATGTAGGTTGTGGTTTGTGTATTACCAAATAAACCCTGGAATGTAGTTTAATTAGTTTATCTGGTTATTCGACTTATCGTAGGAGATGGTAAATATTATACATTTTAATTTAAGAAGCTTTATAAGGCGGCCGTCTATGTGTAAGTGAGAGTATTGTATTATAACAGTCTAGGGTTACACATAGGGGGGTACGGTACACTGGAAACTCTTCATATGTTAATGAGAATGGATGAATTATTGTACACTGGGACTCGAAGCCTCATTACGTCGTTCATGAGATTGACAGATTAGCCCTCTCAGCTGCAATAAGTACCCAGCTACAAGGAAATAATTGGATGGCTTTACTTGATGGAACTAGTTTGAGCAAAGAAATTCTAATTGACTAACCGTAATAGGTGAAAACAGTTAATAAACGGTTTTCTCACAGGTAGCAACCTTCTTTTACCTTCAATCTGTCGCTTATATAATAGTCGAGTTCTTGAATAGGTTCTTGTCTTTAGCGCCAAGTCTCCCATTTTGGGAACCTTTGCTTAAGAATTTTTTTCTCGCTGAGCAATTGACGTGCATATTTTTTATCGACTGTTGAAAGTTTTAAGTTTTATTAGAAATTTTCACAGAAAGTTCGAAGCGTAAATTATATGTTTAGAAATTGCCTAAATTTTATCAAAATCGCTTTTTTTTACTTCAAATGAAAATAATTTCAGAAAAAAATAATTTTTCAATTCGAGAAATTTAAAAATATTGAATATACAAAACAATTGTTCTGTCTTCATAAAGTCACAAACAAAATTTTAAAAAATTGATTTAGAACGATTTTACAGTTGTTTATTTAAAGAGGTCCCAAAATGGGAGACATGGCATCTTCTGACTAACCCCACCCTCAACACATTTACAAAAGGGGAAATATTCCTGGATTCTTCTTTGTCATACTTAGTACCCTCTCTTTTGTTGTTGAAGGTCAAATGTTATCAGTGCAGGTGTTGAATTACTCATTGTGACCCTTCCCATTTTCCATTCAGTCACATGGAATGTTTCAAAATGTGAGATAAAAAAATTTTTCTCAGTAGTTTATCTGATCGTTTGGTGAGTGTGGTTCTATTTCTCTATCGAACTTTCCAAAAATGGCTCGCAACTTTTTAACTGTACAACAGGCATTGGATTATATGGAAACATTAGATTCTGATGAATTCTCAGGTGATGAATGTAGTATTACGTGCTTACCACCTGATCCAAGTAAGGTAACTGACGAGGAAGATTTTCAAGAAAATGATTTAGATGACGTTTTGCCAGTAGACGTCTGCGGAGAAGTAGAGCTGAATGTAAAACTTAATAAAACAAGGAATTCTTCAAGGAAAAAAACATCTTTGAAAAAGAAGAAGAGGTCTCTCCCTGAAAATTATTCTTCGAGTGATGAAGATGATTTGCCTACAATTGAAAATAAGCAAGTAAAACCTAAAAAAATCGCGAAAATGATGAAATCAGTCTCAGTTATAACAAACGGTACTGGAACGCAAAACAAGAAGAAATCTAAAAGAAAATTCTATAATTGGGACAAAGCTGATAAATTGGATTCTATTCAATCAGAAAAAACACCACAATTAGAAGAAATTAACCCTGAATTAGCAGGTAAAACTCCGTATGAACTTTTTAAAATGTATTTTGATTATGATATTTTGAATCTGATAAAAGAAGAGACGTTAAGATACGCTAAGCAGAACAACAACTATGCATTTTCTTTATCTGAAAAGTCCTTAGATGTGTTTTTAGGAATCTTATTGTTTAGCGGATACCATTCATTGCCGCAAGAGGATTTATACTGGAGCAATGCAGAAGATTGCAATCTGCCCTTTATACAAAATGCCATGAGTAGGCAAAAATTTAGAGAGATAAAAAAGTACATTCATTTATGCAATAATGATACAATTGATACCTCTGACAAGTTGGCCAAAGTGAGATGCTTTATTGAGATGTTTTGTAAGAAACTGCAACAATTTGGAACATTTTCTGAATACTTAAGTATTGATGAGGAAATGATTCCGTATACAGGGAGACATTCTGCAAAGATGTACATGCGAGGAAAACCCATAAAATTTGGTTATAAATTGTGGGTTCTCGCTTCTTCACAAGGATATCCATATAATTTGCAGGTTTATGTGGGAAAAGAAACATCAGCTGAATGTAATACACCCCTCGGAACAAGAGTTGTCTTAGATTTGATAGAATGTATAGAAAACAGCCGACGACATAAAGTGTATGTTGACAATTTTTTCAACTCTCTGACATTGCTGGAAGAAATGCGAAAAAGGGGATTCCGTATAACTGGAACGGTGCGAGAGAACAGACTTCAAGATTGTCCTTTGCAAGACAGTAAGGACTTAGTGAAAAAAGAAAGAGGAACATCTGTCTGCATTACAACAAAGAGTGTTAGTGTTGTGAAATGGAAAGACAATAAAATTGTTTGCCTGGCATCAAATTTTGAAGAAATGGAACCTATAGGACAAGCAAAACGTTGGTGCCAAAAGTCCAGGAGGAAAATTGATTTACCTCAGCCTGGAGTAGTTGCCTCATATAATCAAAACATGGGTGGTGTTGATCTTCTTGACCGATTTTTGAGTTCTTACAGACCTAAAATAAAAGGTAAAAAGTGGTGGTGGCCCTTTTTCACAAACACTCTTAATATGGCTGTGATAGCAGCATGGAGGGTTCATCGTGAGGTTAATGGACAAATGTCACAATTAACATTTCTTCGAGATGTAGTTATGGGTTTAATAAAATCCGAAAGACAAGAAACTGTGCATAATGGACTTGGACCGCATGGGCAAGTAAATACCAAAATACGTTTTGATGGAATTAATCACTTCATTACACAGGCTGGTAAGCAGTCAAAATGTAAGTCGTGCAAAAAGAACACTTGTTTGTGTTGTGAAAAATGTAAAGTAATGCTTCACAAAAATTGTACGATTTTGTTTCATACAAAAATGTAAAACAGGAAAATTTAAAGAAGATGAATAAAACAGGTAAAAATATTAATGAACTATTTTGCTTCTTCGTTCAAGCATGTTTATATAATATTTAACTTTATTGATCCCACTGAAACGGATTTTGCGATTTTTATCAATATATATACGAGTAATNCATCATACATGGGCGCAGATGCAGAAGCCATCTTAGTCCCATTAAACGCCATGTCTCCCATTTTGGGACCCTATTATATCTTTTAAATAATTAAAGTTTTTTGAAAAATTTAAAGCTCATATGATTAGATATGCATATTACACCTTAAAACATACCGAAGTTACAATTTTCTCTCAACGGTTTATATAGCGGCTTTTAATGGGTTAAAGTATTAACCAGGGAGGCGCCTTCAATATAAGAAAAATCGATCTCATGGTGATCTAATGGTCGCATGTTGGATCGGCATTATGGGTAGTATATAAAAATGTCTTTTTGGAGTAAGAATTATTTTAAAACAATAATTTACATCTGTAAAAATTTCTATGCTAATTTAAACATGCGTGATTCCTGACAATCTGGGCAATATATATAGCAATATATTAGCAATATATTTTGGTTAAATATTATTACTCGAAATAACTTGTATCTTAATAAATAGTTTGAAACAAAAATAACAATGTTTTTAGGTGTTATTTTATATCCTAAAAATCTATATGTATGGAATATGTTAGTAAGTCCTGTCTGAAACTTACCCTTTAAGAAGTAAATCGCACTAATATTATATTCAGAAGTTATTTAAGTGTACAAGAAATTCATTTTATTCAAGAACTATTAGATTTAGGGTCTATTAAAAATTTATCGAAAAGCAACAATTTTGGACCATGCATATAAAGAATGTCTTTTATTAAATTTTGATTGTTACACTAACTGAAAAAAAATTACTGTATTTTGCTGCATTCAAATTATATTCATTAAATTTGATAAACATTCCTTGTCCAAGTGATTACAGCTCAAAACCTGTATTGGTCATCAAATTTAGAGATATTTTAAAGAAAGAATTTTGAAATTTCTTATTATTATCATGACCTTGCTAAGATTTCTTTCAATAGTTCTATCCTTAGAAAATGTATACAAGAAATGAATAAGCTTAGTTTCTGTGAATTTATTCATTGAATTTATTTCATTGAAGGAATTTTATATCAAAATTGTATTTCATTTAAAATAGTTAAGCTTAAGGTAATGTCTCAGCCATTTAAAACCATGGATTTAAATATGGCTCTGCAAAGATGAAATTTCAGTTGTTAAAATTTCAACGCCATAACATTATTTAGTAAACACAAAACGGTTTTTTCTTTTATATATTTGAATTAACTTGTCACTTTCATGAATGTGTAAATACAGTGCACTCCCGATTATCTGGGTTAATCACCGGGACAGGTTGCACGAACAATCGAAAAACCCGGATAATCCGAAAACTCCTTTAATTAAAGAAAAATCAATATCAGTACAAAGAATATAAATATTACTGACATTTGCATGCTGGATAACATCAAACTAGGAATTTTCCTTTAAAAAAAATGTGTAATGAGTCTTGTATCGATACACATGTTTTACGAACCGCAGTAATGTCACCGTAATCAAATCCTCCCATATAATCTAATAAAATTTCCACACAGCAGCAGAAATTGTATTTCCCTCATTTACTACATCTTCTGCATCAGTTACTATCATCACTATTTGATTTAACAACATAACGATGTCTTCATCTGTCAAATGCAGGAAGTCAGGCTCACATGCATCACTTTGAAACCAATCTTCAAAATTTTATTCGTCAAGAATTTCGAAACCTCAGATTTCTTTTGCTTGTTCGAGAATACTGTTATCATATATTTCTTGAACATCTGAAGAAAATTGCTCATCAAGCTATAAGATCTTTCTCCAAGATCGTGATAAAGTAGCCGGTTTTACCTTTGACCATGCTGCTAATATTCCATATACTTCAATCCAATAACGAATATTGCTTCCAAAAATTTGGTAGTGTTATAACTTCATGAATAAATTTTTTTTTAATCTTTAAAATGTTTCTTTATATTTTTTGTGTGACTCCGGAATGAGCACGGATAATCCGCAAACCGGATAATCCGCGCACGGATAATCGAGAGTGTACTGTAGTCACTTTTTAACGCTGCCGCCTTGAAAATTATCTTATAAAAAATTTATTTACCCAGTTCGAGCAAAATTTGTCCATTTATGAATAATATCTCTGCTAAATCTCTTATCTTCTTCGGTATATTTTTTCTTGTTAATTATTGGCTTTCCAAAGACAAATTGAAGTTCATAGGAATGTCTTACTCCTATCCACTGTGCGGCAGGATCCTTGCGAGAAATATGAGTTAACCAATATAACCTCGAATTACCCCAGTTCTCAGCAAAAATTAAACTCGGACAATCCATCGTTATATCTCCAGCAAAGTGTGTTACAGCTCTTAATATGTCTGAAGAATTTTCCTTGTTCACGTTTTTAAAATAAAAGTCTATTACCGCTTCGGGTGAAACTTCTACATCAAATATTTTTAAAGATCTTTTAACTACATCTCTGGCCTGGAGAAAAGTTAGCTTTGGTGTTTTATTTATTGGGAAGAGATCGGGAAAAAAATAAACCAAAACAATTGTACCTTCATCTTTATTGGTGCCGATAAGATTGGGTATATTTGGGAAATTACCAGATTTCAAAGCAGTTCGAGGGTTTTCTGGAAGAAATTTACTACCATACCAAGGCTTGAAATACTCAAGGACTTTGGATGTAATTGTATCTTCAGCGTGTGTAAGCTCATATGGACTCTTCGCTTTCAAGCATCTTAATATTTCCTTTGAATTGTTAGGAAATATTTGTGATTCATTGCGGCAATTAACTAATTTAGCAAAATAATTTGCTCTAGATAAAGAAACCTTATAATCTTGATTGTAGTATGGTAAGACATTTGAACCACTCTCCTGTATCCCCTTTTGAAACAACCCTTTCGAAAGAGGAGAAATCATATGGGAACTAACGGAGGTCGCACCTGCACTTTGACCGAACAGTGTAATACTGCTTGGATCACCGCCAAAACTATGAATATTTGCTTTAATCCACTTCATAGCTAAAAGTTGGTCATATATACCAACATTTCCTGGAGCTTCATCAGTGCCAGAATTTAGGAAACCGAACGATCCTAGCCTATAATTCATGCTGGCTACAATAACATTTCCGTATGAAGCTATTACTCCCCCATCATACATGGGCGCAGATGCAGACCCTAGAAAAAATGCTCCACCATAAATCCAAACTAAAACAGGTAATTTTTCAGTTGTGTTACAAAAACAATGAACTGGTGTCCATATATTTAAATATAGGCAGTCTTCACTAATTTTTAATGTTTTAGGGATGGCGGGAACGCCTCTACTTGAATATTGTTCGCATGCGGGTGATTTTTTATTGGCTATTATTGTTTTTCCCCACTTTGTTATTGGTTCAGGCTTAGCATACCGTTTCTCTCCTATTGGAGGTTTTGCAAATGGAATACCAAGAAAGGCTGTGACTATAGTATTGCTCACTTTAACATACTTGCCAATAACAGATCCCTGGATAGTCTCCACTAGAGGTGCATAGTTACTTTTAGAGTAATATTCAATACAGCATGCGCTGTGATATATACTAACCAGTATAAAGAAATATCGCATACCTGGAAGAAAATAATTCATATATGATTTCAATAGGCAAAAGAATCCCATTTTATGCATAATTTTGATTTTAATAAAATATAATTAAACAGTGCTTTGTTGGACAGTTGTTTATGCTGCAAGTAGCTCGAAAATATATTCCAAATTTCTCGTAAAATGTGATTTTGCGAAAATTGTGTATCAAAATGTGTCCAACTAATTAGAAATGGTTGGTTATCTGATAGTTCATGATTGTAAAAAAAAAGCAACGCATTTTCTTTAAGCAATTTTGTGTCATTCCCGGCAGTACGTGTAATTTTCAATAGAATGAGGGATATAATTTTCAGTCTAGATCACTTGATTCAACGCTAGTTTTCTTTCGGATTTTTGGGGATTAAGAATTATTCCAAAAATTAAAAAAGCTGACCACATGAGTGAACTTTTTTTAGTACCGACTCAAATAAAATACATTTGTATCGCACGTAGAGGTTTAGTATAAGTTAGAATCTCTTGATCCTTGGTTCATCTCAAATTTACATGTAATATTACTTAAAATATTATCAATAAAATATTTCTTTTTCTTCCCTTGTACTGGCAACTAAGCCCCCTATCAAAAATTAATTATAACTAAATTATGTTTTAAGAATTTATGCGGTCTTTAAGCTGATAGTAAGACAAGTGTGTCTTCGTATGTGGAAAAGTCTTCATCTCAAAATGAAAAAGCGATCGCAGGTTACTCATTAGCAAAATGGTTGTAGTCCAATTTTTTTATAACCCTCTTTATTTGTGATATTCACCTGAATTAGCATTGAAAATTATCCAGTTTGAACTGCAGGTAAGAATTTCTGATTCTTAATTGAAACAATGAAAACAAAAATATCGTTCAAATGATGAAATTCTATTTTATTCACAGCTCAGGAAGTATTTATGGGATCTCTCTGGTCCCATATCTCAAAAATAAACCCACCAACTTAATGCATAATAAAATTAAAAGTGAAAAAAAAAAAAGAATTCCAAAAAAATTATCAAACAGCAGCCGCCGCTATAGCAACGCATGCAATGACGTCACATGGGCGCAGTTTACTATTACTCTTGAACACAGTTGAAAAGTGTGATGACACAGCAGTGTGATGACGTTCAAAAAAGGTGTGCACGCCATCAAACCTAAAACAAGGCCCATTTTTCCAATGGGTAAAAAAAAAGCTACATCGCAGAAATTCAGTTACATTTATGTAAAATTGGTCATTAAAAATTTCGTCAAATTAAAGCGATTGTACCAGCAAAACCGTTGGTACAATTTATCCGATTCCCAATTAATGTGCCGTGGCACATTAAGATACATTGGAGCAGGAAGAGGGGTTTATGTCTTAAAGTCTACTACTAATACTTTTATACCAATTAATTGTTATACAAAAAAACGTTTTAAATTAAAGTTATAGGATGAAGTTTTGAATTTATGTGAAATAGGAGTATTTTGCCTTTTGCTGGACAAGGTAAAGCTGTGAGGCTTTAATCCATGGAAGTTCCAGTTTTATTTTGCTTTTACATACTTGTGCACGGCAAGGTTACAGCAGAAACTCCTGAAAGACTCAAAAGTAAATAGTTTAACAATCTAAGGTAAATAATAAGCGTTTACGTAATATGCAGCTATTCATATTTTATATTATTATTAACCAGCAGAGTACATGTTCCTTATACGTGAGTAAAAAAGGAATCAATAAATCTGCATTAGTACTGAGCAATTCTACAAAATCATACACAAAATTGAAATACCAATATCGATATAATTAATAAAGCTAAAATAATTCCAATGTCTTTTTTAATATGTTTATTAATATTTTTTGCCCCTACGGGTGTATTTAGATTATTAGATTTAGCAAATGTCCGTTTTTAATATCTCATCCTATAAAAAGTAAGATTTTTTGTATTCTTATCTACTTGCTTAATGCGCTTGCTCGAGGACAACTCAAGCGATTCATAATTTACCACAATCAAGCAATATCCTCCAATATTTTTTTTGAGGGCCCGTTATAAGCTTTTCTCTCTAGAGAATCTATCATAAAATGCTCAGTTTCAGTCAATATGAAGTTTACTCCTGAAATATTTTGTATCTACATTAGTCTAGTTTGCACCTATAAAAACTGAACCAATTACCATGACATAGTAATGTGTATTACAAAAAATAATTAAGCATCATTGACACCATACAGTAATCTATAATATACTGTAATTTACGTTTCTAATAAACGAATTATTACCATTTTTTCTATTAATTTGTTTTTTAATCATTGCTTATTTTTGAAGTTAAACGTTTAACGCTGCATTTTTATTGGCCGGGAAATCACATGGTAGGATCCAGTTTTCCCTCATTCATTTCCATATCGTTTTGGTTCTCACTAGCATACAAATAATAAAAGTAATTTTTTTCCATAAAAATTTTTTTAGTTTGTTTTTATACACATATAATTTAACAGGGTAGTATTTTTTTTCAAATGTAGTAGATAACAATTGCAAAAAATGAGTGAAAACAATCCCACGGACAATGCGACGGATTTCAGGTTATGTCAAGGTACGTCTCTTGCGAATATCAATTGATTGTTAAGTTTTCTCTGCTGAAATTACATTATGACGCATTCACATACATTATTAATGCAAATACATTTTCCAGGGCGAGACGATGAGGCAACCCCAAGCACTTCCACTGGTACAAGAGGTCCACGAGGGAAAAATGCACAATATTACCGTTATTACAGAGCATGGAATCGAGCGGAGCAGGAAAAAGAGTCGTTGAATAGAACTAGTGATCCTTCTACGACTGCTGATTCTTGTACAATTAGCGTCGCAGGTTGCGAAGTTTAACTTCTTCCTCGCGGAGGGACTCCACACACTATTTTTTTCTGATTATAATACACTTAATATAAGGTATAAAGTATAATACACTGATAACACATAATAAAGTATAATACACTTAATATAAATTTTAATTGTAGATCATTACATTGAAAAACAGTATAACGAAATTTTACTTTTCTTCTAAACGAATTAGTACCATTTCTCGACTAATTTTAATTTTTAATTCGTAGCTATTTTTTTTTAATTTCATTTAATTCATATCACCAAAATTAATTAAAAACATTGGCGGCACTAATAGTTTGGTGATTTTTTTTGTTTTTCTTAAATTAATTAGTACCATTTCTTCATTACTTAGGTATTTAGTACAATGACTTTTTTTATTTAAATTAGTACTTATCAAGAAAATCAATTAAGCATAAGTGGCGGCAGAAATGGTTCGGCGACTACACACTATTTCTCCATTAATTTTGCTTCGAGGAATTTTTTTTTCAATTGCCGGGGGTTTTAAACAATTTAATTTCATAAAAACAAAGTTTAAAAGCATAACTATAGACAAAACTAACAAGTGGATAATTTTAGAATTACCAATATGGTTAAGTAAATCAGTTCTGCTTCGTTTTGATTCACTGAGTTAGTCTTCCATAACGAAGAAAAAATAATTAAACATTAAAAGACTTGCAATAAATCCCTTAGAGTTATAAGCTACGAAAAATGACTGAAGTTATCTTAAAAATATGTGAGTAAACAAAACTAAATTGACTGAGGTTCAAGTTTCAGCAATGGCGATTTCTAAGCCAAATAAAAAGTTCCATTTCTTTTAATACCTCTCCTGAACGATCGAATTGAAATATTTAAAAGAATTTTAGGATCAGAAACAATAGCAGCCCCTTTTACCAACTCTCCAAATTTCAGAACGCTAACGGAAATGGTTCTTTTAATCATAAGAAGTCACAAACAAACTCTTCATTTTATTGTTATAGTTGACATCTATCTATGTTATATAAAACGCTAATACGTATGTATCAATAAAACCGATGATATTTCTTTTCTCGCGTTGGCACCAGTTATCATTTTTAATTGATTGGCTTCGGCGCGCAAGAGCACGTAGTGAGCATCATATGGCTAATCTATATTACATAAAACGCTAATACGTTTTAATTGATAGGCTTCGGCGCGCAAGAGCACGTAGTGAGCATCATATGTCTTATCGGGTGAATTCTCACCGAATTATCAAAAAAATTCTCACAAAATTATCTTCATCGAAGCCGATGCTTTACATCCGGCGTTCAGTACTATTTCATATTGTTTTACAACACATGGTTTTAGCCCTCTGGTGGGAAAGACTTTAAAACAAAACTTACAACAGTTACTTTTCTCAACAACTGAAATTTAGAATAGTGTGATTAAGAAAAATATGTGAACTGTTTGCAATTTCAAATTAATATTGAAATGCACAGGTTTAGAATTTTCTACAGTGAAAAGTTTTCGGAACTTCAGTGTTCAAAAAAGTATACAAAAGCTAGACGTTAAGAACGTATCCAATGAGCGAGCAAAGCGAGCATCGGATTGCGAAGCAATCCGAAATGAACTGCGAAAGCAGTTCCGGGGGTTGGCGAGCGCTAGCGAGCAGGGGGCGAAGCCTCCTAGTATTATATAAAACGCTAATACGTATGTATCAATAAAACTGATGACATTTCTTTTCTCGCGTTGGCAACAGTTTTCATTATTAATTGATAGGCTTCGGCGCGCAAGAGCACGTAGTGAGCATCATATGTCTAATCGGGTGAATTCTCACCGAATTATCAAAAAAATTCTCACAAAATTATCTTCATCAAAGCAGATGCTTTACATCCGACGTTCTGTACTGTTTCATATTGTTTTACAACACATGGTTTTAGCCCTCTGGTGGGAAAGACTTTAAAACAAAACTTACAACAGTTACTTTTCTCAACAACTGAAATTTAGAATAGTGTGATTAAAAAAAATATGTGAGCTGTTCGCAATTTCAAATTAATATTGAAATGCACTGGTTTAGAATTTTCTACAGTGAAAAGTTTTCGGAACTTCAGTGTTCAAAAAAGTATACAAAAGCTAGACGTTAAGAACGTATCCAATGAGAGAGCATCGGATTGCGAAGCAATCCGAAATGAACTGCGAAGGCAGTTCCGGGGGTTGGTGAGCACCAGCAA